ATTTTATTTATTTATTTGACAGAGACACAGCGAGAGCAGGGACACAAGCAGGGGGAGTGGGAGAGGGAGAAGCAGGCTTCCCTGCCGATCAGGGAGCCCGATGCGGGGCTCGATCCCAGGACCCCGGGATCATGACCCGAGCCGAAGGCAGACGCTCAACTGACTGAGCCACCCAGGCGCCCCGATACTTTAAATTTTTAATGAACGTTTCTTCATTTGAAAGCGCACGTATGCTCTTAAATGTGGTAGAGGCACCGCTCGCGTGGGCCGCGTGGCAGTTGTGTGTTGAGGGGCACACGGCTCACCATGGCCGTCTGTTTCCGTGGAAATAGGCCTGTGCTTCACGTCTTCGCCTTGCCGGCAACGGGGCTAGAGCTGCAGAAAGCGCACGGAAGACTTGCTCTTCGGGGACATCTCATGTCTGCTGTTTGCCCTTTGGAGGGTGGGGCCGGGCAAAGCCAGATGTCCTGAAGCACGAGGCATTGGCTCGCCCTTCTGCCTGTGCCCCTCCAGGGCTTCCTTCTCTGGAGAAGTCGGGGCGCCACTGGGCTCCTGGTAGTGTGAGGCTCCCTGCCATCTCCTGTCCGTAGGTGCAGCGGGAGGGCTGTGCTCGGCCGTGACCAGTGCCTGGCACTGAGAACCTGCTGCAAGTAGGGTCTCCTCCCGGGGCCAGAGAGCAGCGTCCCAGAACAGCATGTGGGTTTCCTCTCCCCCAGCCTGTTTTAGTTCAAAGTCACCGGTGTGTTTCTTGTCCTCCTTCTAGTTACTGTAGCCTGTAGCAGGATAAGCGGCACGCTCAAGCGTTCTGGATGGAAGTGAGGGGTGGGGCACGTGGGGCTCGATTGCAGGTCCTGCTGCCTGTGTCCTCAGCCTGTGAGGTTTCCTTCACAGATGCACTTACGCGGTGGGAAACCACGACTTCATCGAGGCGTACAAATGCCAGACTGTCATCGTCCAATATCTTTTGTCGTTTGCGTTATGGTTTAAGATCTGGAGACATCAGGCCACTTTCATTCATACCTTTAACTAGAAAGGAATTGAAACTAACTTTGGGAAGAGAAACTCGTTTAGCTATTTCATTCAGGTGCTTAGATGTATTCTGGGCCTTAAGACTGTCGTCCAGTTACCCGTACAATGAGGGGGAACACGGGTGATGGTTAAGGGTTTTACTTAATTCTGTTGTGAACAGTGGTATTTCCTTTAAAGCATTAAGTAGAGCTACAGGGACTAGTTAGTCCCTTTGGCAAAATAGGAGAACGCCAGATTCCAGGCATAGATGGACAAGAGTGGACTCCACATGTCGTCACTGAAGTGTGGCCACTGAGACCTTCAGCCAGCCAGTGTCTGATTTAAGTCATTTAAGTGCTATCTCCTAGCTAAGGCTTCTGTCAGTGAGTGTTCTAGTATTTATGTGTAACTCTGGATTTTTAGTTTGCTTATTTTTTAACTTTCTTGTTTAAGTATACAAAAGAGAAAGTTGGCTACTAACTAGCTTAGTCTCCTTTGAATTTAAGAATTCTGTAATCAAGGAAATAAACTTTATACTACAGATTCTAAAGCCTATTACATATGTGATTATCTGGGTTCAGAAAAACCAAATAAAATGTTTGAGGTTCCCAATTAAGAAAATCTTACAATAGTCTCTTTGGGGAATGTATGTGTAAAGCAAATATATTTACTGTACTAATACCTAATAATATTCAGATATTTGTAATTTGTACATTTTTCCTTCAAGAACTTGCCCCTATGATATATAATCTTCTAAACCTAAAATTGAGAATCCTTCATATTTCTTACTCTTATCACTTCTAGCCTTGCCTTAGATTTTGTACGTTGTTCCTTAATGTAGTACATCGTTCCTGCGTGCATTTCAAGCCCACAAAGAAGAAAACTGGTAAGTATGAACAGAAATAACTGGAAACTGGCAAATGGCAGGGTTTAGTTTTTGGATTTTTTTTTTTTAGCAGAAGCTTTTTAAAACTTTAAGTAAATATGTGTTGTGTTTTCTGTATGGATATTTAATGTTACATGTTGACCTAGGATAATATCAACGCGGATAGTGGAGTTTTAATGGTCAGTGTAAACTTCAAGTGGCGGACCAGCCAGATTGTTTGCAGTGTGTTCACATAAACATAAAGCCTTGTTTTTATTTCAGACCTTCCATACCCCAGAATGTTTGTTATTTGTCAATTCTGAACTGAATTTTGATTTTAATTTGGATAAAAGGGCAGGTCAGCTGCAGTTCACGTGGAGTGACTAGAGTGAATACGTGGTAATTGGGTTATTTTAAGTTCCTTGACAAACTGATTCTTAATTTTATGATTTATTAACTGTAGGTAAATACTGAAATTTTGTGTTTACTAAAATAACTGAAGGCTTGCAAATACCTTTTATTGAAAAAACAAAATCAAATACCCTCTTTAAGTGAAGATTTGTCTTAACACATAAAAATATTTCCACCAGCTAAATTTAAAAAAAAAATCCTTTTACGACATTTTGTCTATTACGTTTTCTGGGTCCTGTTAGAAGGTCTTACTAAACCACATCTTGCTTTAACGGAGCTGCTTGGAGAGTGGTTGAAGGGAAGGAGAAGGTCCTGAATAGCGTGAGGAGGTGCTGTCTGGGGCTGAGGACCCTGGACGCAGCGGGATCTAGGCTTCTGGGGGGTCCGGGGCAGCGGGTGAGGGGCACTCCAGTGCCTGTGCTGTCAGGAAGCCCCGGCGCCGCAGCCTGCCCTGACGGGGGATGAGGAAGGCGGCAGGAGCCTCGGGTTCCTGGAGGGGTGGTGGCCCCCGTGGACGGAGGTAGCTCTGGGTGTCGGGAACGGAATCTCAGACCTCGTGGCCTCTTCCAACGTGCTTGCTTTCCTGCCCTGCAGGGCTCTGCCCGTCATGTATGCCGTAGCACTCGACCTTCGAGTCTTCGCCAATAACGTAAGTTTAGTTCTCGTCACTGTTCTTTTAAAAATCTCAGTTTCTATCTTTTGCTTAATTTCATGTCATTCTTCCAGAAGTTTTGAGGGTTAGGATGTGGGTTAGCACGTACTTGGTGTAGCGAGCGGAAGGGCGGGAGGTAGCTGGACTGTCTGGGTTGGTGGGTTTTCCTGCCGTGGGTGTAGACGGAGGTTCTCTGTGCGTGTTAACCCGTTATGGCAGATGGCAGATTTTTTTAAAGGAGCGAGGCAGTAACACGAGCAGGTCTGCGTTCTCCTCTGCTGTGAAGATGTGGCTGTCCCCCGTCTTGAGGAATCCCACCCTGATGTAGATGGGGGCAGCAGCTAGGGGTCTCTCTGGTGTGGGGGGTCGGTTTGCCCTTGGGGGTCAGCGTAAGGCAGTTCTGGAGCGGCAGTTCTGAACTAACACACCTTTATGGCTCTAAAAACTATAACTTCCCATTCTGAACAAGATGGGGTAGGTACAGTTTTCCTTTCCATCCTGCTGAGAATTCGGAAGCCAGCACGACTTGCAGACCAGCAAGTGGTGGGTCTCCTGCATTTGCTTCTTGCTTCCTATCCTGGACTGGGTCCCAGAGGAGCCTCAGATCCAGGAAGACTGACAGGCAGAGATGAAGAGGCCCCAAGGAAAGCAGGAGGGGGGTTCTGGACAGACTTCTTCAGCAGTCCCTGCCGCAGCCCCCCAAACTGTGCCAGTCCCCAGCGCTTCAGCAAAGCCCTCGGGGAGCCGGACCCAGCCAAGCCAGCGGCAGCTCCCCACCAGCATGGCATCCGCTGCTGATGCGAGATAAACAGGGTCCACGTGACCTCATACCCCAAATATCACTTACGGAGAATCTCAGCCTGTGAAGAGAGACGATCCACAAACACCGGATGTTGGAATTCCTTGACTTGCTCGTACCCCGGCCATCCTAAATAAGTCTCAGGAAAAGTCACGAACACGCTTGAAACAAATGAAAACATAGACGGTCTCAGCAAAGAAATAGAAGATGTAAAGAAGAACTGTGATAGAAATTTCTAGAACCAAAAAATATAACTTAAACGCAAATTAGGCTCCAAAGAGCTTTGTTTATATATCTATTTGTATTTACCATATTAAAAATTTTTAACTGGGATTTAAAAAAATATTCCTCTAAAATGACAAGCCTTTTATGTGGTAACATAAGTGACGTTTTAAGAGAAAAATACCTATATTTTCCAAATGAACAAAATGTGCTGAGAAGAGTGCTGGATTTTTATTTTAATCTTACAGAAGCCGCCTGACCCCGTGTCCTTCTGCAGGCATGGTGTTGCGGCTTGAATATATGAAGACGGTCTGGCCTCACCCAGGTGTAGATGGAAAGGAGAGGAGTATTTTAATAGCCTTTCAGATGATTGTGGATACTCTTTTCCTCTATTACCAAAGCTCCAAGGGGTTGTTACGGTGTGTCCTCCGAAGCTTAGCGTTGAGCTTTTTTTGCTGTTGTATTGGAATCTGCTGGGTGTCCTGGTCTCTGGGTGGACTGTGTGCTCTTGTGTGATCTTGTAGCATCAGACAGACGTTGATCATTTGGAAAGTTCTGGTTCACCGAGTCACAGAGATGTTCCAAATGTGGATGTGTTTCATTGTGTAAAAGAAAACCCCAAACCAAAAAAACTCCCATTTGTTAATGCCTCCAGTGACCTTATCTGTAAAGTTTTGGAGTAATGAAATGCTGCCACGTTCATGGTGGTTGATGACAAGTTACCCAAAATTCTGGTTTTTTTTTTTTTTTGAAAGCACAGATGTCATTGGCCACAAATACTGTCAGGTGTTTGCTTGGAATTGATTGGTTGTGTTTCGCTTTAGAGCAAACGGTCCTTCAGCCACCCTCGCCTGGACGCCTTGCTCGTCTGTCCGTCGCTGGTTCCACACGCTAGCTGGCAACTCCAGCAGCTTCCCAAGTGCTTTTCCCGGAGAAAACCATACTGTCATTTCATCACAAAGAATGTTAAATATTTGCATATTCAAGAGCCAAGACTTAGGATGTACTGTGTCGTCAGGGACAGTTTGAAGTGACCTTGGTGTTAGTGTCTGACTGCAGGACTGTGCGGGGTGATGTTAGGGACATCGTGTTGCTGCTGCAGTTTGGTGTCGCTGGAGAGGCCCCCACGTTTTCACCTACCACAGTGCTCGCATCGTCAGTGCAAGTGACGGTACAATAAGGGGACAAATACTGGCTGTTGGTGTTGTCATGAAAATAGTTCTGACCGCATGGATCATGTGCAAGTGTTTTGAAGGCTCCCAGGGTTTCGTAGATCATACTTTGGGCACCTGTGTTAGGGGGTGTGAGCGGGAGCCAGCAGGTCCCAGGAACAAGGGGAGAGTCAAACCTGGTGATGACTTCGGTGTCTGTCGGAAGTGTGTGTTTTGGGGTTTTGACTGGCTGTAGGCGGGGGCAGAGCATGAGCCCGTAAGGAAAGGCTCCTGGAGGGGCGCAGGGCCCCGTGCCCCAGACTTAGAGAACAGGCCAACTCAATAGCTGGAATTGGTTGAAGAGTTGATTTGTGTAAGAGTCAGGATACGCTACCGATTTCTCAATTTTTAACAATGCTAACATCAACTAGAAGATTTCACCAGAGCTGCTCGGGACTCTGACCCTCGGTTGTAGCCATTTTTGCTTCTAGCAGCAGCGGAGGTTTCTTTCCCACTCAGGAATTGAGAGGAAATTAAACGTGACTGTTTGTGTTCTATCAGGCAGACCAGCAGTTGGTAAAGAAAGGGAAGAGCAAAGTCGGGGACATGCTGGAAAAGGCAGCCGAGCTGCTGATGAGCTGCTTCCGCGTCTGCGCCAGTGACACGTGAGTACAGCGTGGAGGTGGCTGCGCCAGTGGGTGATGCTTGTGTCCCTCCCGCGTGTGCGCGGACCCCATGGTCGTCGTTCCGATCTGCTTAGCTAGTCCGCTGCTGTGTCCAGGATGTGAGAGAGAGAGAAGGTGGTGTGTGAGGTTTGCCTGTGTCTCTCGAGCGCTTTCCTCCTGCCCCTGCGTCCCTTCTGCACCTGGTCCAAGCCCCGTCCGCTGGGAACGCGCCCAGCGGCTTGTGCTGAGTGCAGGTCTGCGGATGCTCAGTTCTCCAACCGTCTTTACTTTGTCTTCCTTTCTGTGTGCTAGGTGGAGAATTCTAGATAGACCGCTTTTTCTGCTGGCGCTCTGGCCGCGCCGCCTCCTCACTGTGTCTCCCGCCGTGTGACTCCATACTCCCCTTTGTTAGGGTCCGTCCAGCGTCTCGGATCTCTGCGCCGATGTGTTTTGTTAGAGCCTTCCAAGGGTGATTGCTACATCCTTTCTCCCACTCCCTTTTGTCCTCATTCTGTCTTCTTTGAGACGCCAGGCTCATGTATGTTAGACGCGTGTCCTGCCACGGACACGGGTGCCCTGTGTTCCCCTCTTGAGCTGTACGTGTTTATCGTGGGATAACTGGCTTTCTTGATGTGACACCCAAAACACAATAACCTAAGAAAAAATAGATAAAGCAGACTTCATCAAAATTAAAAACTTTGTGTTTCAAAGGATGCCATCCAACAAGTGAAAAACAACCATAGAATGGGGAAGATACTTGCAAATAACGTAGCTGACAGTAACCTGTATCCAGAATGTATGAAGATAAGTAATCCGATTTATGTGGGCAAAGCCCCTGGATAGACATTTCTGCAAAGAAGATAGACAGATGGCCAGTAAACCCACAAACAGGTGCTCAACATCCTTAGTCAGAAAGGAAGCGCAAATGAAAACCACGGCGGGCCGCGCTTCACACCCAGCAGCGTGCTGAGCGTTGGGGGGGCTGCAGCGGGCTGGGCCTCAGAGAGACCCCTCGGGGGTCGCTTCCTGAGTGTCACCAGTATTAGAGTGTTTGGTTTGTTTTCTACCCTCCGAGGCAGGCAGTGTTCATCATCCCCGTGTTGATTTGAGGTCACGGCGCCAGTGAGCGACAAGAGTCCTGGAGGGGCTGGCCGCTATCACGGAACAGACTTTGTTTTTAAACGCTGACCGCGGTTCTACACTGAATATTCCTATATGGGAGGGATCTTAGGGATGGTCTTGGGGAGGGTTTCTTTGTCCCCGGCTTGTGAACAGCCTGTGGTTCCATACCGGCGTGTTTATTTCATATGCTTTGACCCCATGCCCTGGGATTTCGGGTGTGCAGGCAGCCTGCCGCGGGCCCCCCTCCCCGGTGCCCCGTTGGTGGGCTTGCAAGCCGCACCAGAGAAGAACCACCGCAGGGCGCAGATACGCGGCAGGCTCCACTGTGCGTTGTGTTTCAGCACTGCGTCGTGAAGATCCTCGAGCGTCTGACCGCGTGGACAGAATTGCACAGGGGACACTGTAGACTCCCCACGTGCCCCGTTGGCGTTTACTGTACATGCCGTATGCTGTCCGGTCACGCGTCTTGCCTTCTGTGCGTCTAGCAGTTTTCTTTCTTCTAAAGGTTATGCGTCCGTCAGAGACCTCCCTAAGTGCCACACTCTCCTTTATAGTTTGAGGTAAAACTTACTGGCAGTGATTCACACGGATCTTGACTGTATTTTGACAAGTGTGTGTGCGTGTGTGACCCAACCCCTCCCGAGGCCGAGGACATTGTCATCACGCCGTCCCCTTCCCAGGCGGACCCACACCACGGTTCCAGTCTCCCGTTGGTGGCCGCGTGCACTGCGTCTTGTTCCACGTTGTCGTGTGTTTCCGAGTCCGTCTTGCCCTCCGGATGAGCGAGCACACGTCCATTGAAAATAATAGACGTGTTGCCGATGAGGCAGTCGGCGGCGGCCCACACGCGTACTGGGGTCGTCTGTTGTGGCTGGTGGTTCGACCTCTGCTCGGGCTGCTTATTTCATGGGCACGGCTTGAGCTGTGGGGTTTTATCTCAAGGTATTAATTTTGTTTAGGCAGATTTGTGTGTGTGTGTGTGTGATTTATAAACACTGATTTCCTGGGTAACTTAAAAAAAACTGTTTTCCCGTAGCCGGGCCGGCATCGAGGACTCTAAGAAGTGGGGGATGCTGTTCCTGGTGAACCAGCTATTCAAGATCTACTTTAAGGTGTGATTCCACGTGGGCGCCTTAAATACTCTGTGGGCCTTTTCCTTCTCCCTGTCTCCCTGGATGCCATCTCTGTGCCGGCCTCCCTGCCATCGCCGGGAGGTGATCCTCACCTGGCCGTATCCAGTCGAGTCTGTGGAGCTCCTCCTAGGTGCAGGGACTGTCCTGTTTCAGCCTCCACCCGACGAGGGGAGCCCTGCATCTCCTGGGGAAAGCAAGGCGCCAGTGCCCTGAGCGGGTGGGCTTTCACGTGAGGGGTATGACCCCAGGCCTTCCACCCGCCACTGTTAACAATTAGCTACGGAGCAGGTGGCGGGTGAGTGGGTCAGGAGGTCCTTCCTGCTGCACGAGGTTGTCCAGCGAGGGGCAGCCCCGTGGGGCACCAGCAGCTGGTGCCTGGCCCTCTGGGTGTCATCTGCACCACGCAGCGTGTGTTTTAGTGTTTCTTACGGACACCTATTAATCAGTTTTGGTGATGTAATTGGCTTTGTAATTCCCGCTTTAAGGAGGCAAATAGGGGCGCCTGGGTGGCTCAGTCGGTTGAGCAACTGCCTTCGGCTCAGGTCATGATCCCAGGATCCCGGGATCGAGTCCCGCATCGGGCTCCCGGCTCGGCGGGGAGCCTGCTTCTCCCTCTGACCCTCCCCCCTCTCATGCTGTTTCTCTCTCGCTCGTTCTCAAATAAATAAATAAATAAAAAAGGAGGCAAATACTTGGTAAAGCGGAAGCTTTTGTTCGTCCTGCTCGTTTTGTTGCGTAATACTTGGAAGGGCTTGTTCCAGATCAACAAGCTACACCTGTGCAAGCCCCTCATCAGAGCCATTGACAGCTCGAACCTGAAAGAGGACTACAGCACTGCCCAGAGGGTGACGTTCAGGTACTACGTCGGGCGCAAGGCCATGTTCGACAGCGACTTCAAGCAAGGTTGGTCCTTAGTCTTTGTTGCCTGTGTTTTAGAGACCCTGGATCCTGAGCAACGTCCAAGAACGCTCACTGCCTCTTAGCAGCATGTAGGTGGCAAGCGGTGGGGCCCCTGTCCTGCGTGTGCGCGTTTGTTGCTGATGCTGAGGTCGGTTGAGCGCGGGAAGGCCCGGGCCGTGTCTCTCGAACTCCTGCCGGAGTCGCAGTTACCGCGGGTGACTTTCTCGTGGGGGCGATTCGGCACCACTGTTCTTCTCTGGCATGTGCCTTCGGGGCGGCCCAGGATCCGGAACAGGGAGCCCAGGCAGCCCACGGCGTCTGTGTTAGACACGCCAGGGGCCGCCAGCACGGAGGGTTGCTGCGCGGCGTGGTGCTCGGGCCCTGCTCGTGCGGGCAGCGCTCTCGGAAACCTCGGCGCGGGGAGCGTCTGTGCGGGCTTCTCAAGAACACGAAGCCAGGCTTTTTCTTTTCAGCTTGGGATTAGCTGACAGCGGTTGTTCTTTACGGTCTCCTCGGCCGTTCTCGGACCAGACTCTGTAAACCCGCTCCTCAACAGCTGTGTGCACATGAGGACCGGGCCTGGAACGGCTTCGCTTTCCGTGTGTTTGGGCCGGGGATTCTCGGCCGGTGGAAGTGACCGGCTGCGGGGGGCGTGCCCTGGTTTCTCTCCGGCGGGCTTGTGCCCACCAAACTCGTTCTCCTTCACAGAAGTTTGAATAGACCCACGGCTCTTGAACAAGGGCTGTCCTCCGTGGTTCTCCCGTCTTTTTTTTTCCTTAGAATAGAAAGCCCAAGAATAGAAACTTTTAAGTTATATTCTTTTGAAGTTTCTCAAGTTTGGTGTTGATGTTTTTCCTCCAGACTCATTTGAATACCCAATACAGCAATACAGCGAGAAATGATTGATCACTGTTAGCGGTAGGAATTGATGGTTCCCAAGACAGCAGCGTTTCAGGGGGTGCAGGGGTGGGACGCGGTGCGGGCGGGGGCCGTGGTGAGCGCGGGCGGTGTGACTTGTGTCTACAGCGGAGGAGTACCTGTCCTTTGCCTTCGAGCACTGCCACCGCTCGAGTCAGAAGAACAAGAGGATGATTCTGATATATTTGCTGCCAGTAAAAATGCTGCTGGTAAGTGATTCTACTCTGCTCTTTGAGGTCTCGGTGCTCAGTGAAGAGGTTGATAGAGTTTTAAAAATGTAGCAGGTGTCGCGTAGCTACGTAGTCTGAGCTGCATGTGAACACACCCCAGAAATGGAGAGTGGAGGGTAAGCTGCTTGGTGTGCGGCCGGAACCATTTATCTCCACGGCTGACACTTTCTCTTAAAAGTATCTGCCTCAGACGTGCGACGTATGTAAGAAAATAAATGTATGTTATTTTTATTGCTCCTAAGAACGTAAATTAATAGAGATGGATTAAGCAAGGAAGAGAAATGTGCCAGCCTCTCTTCAGGTATCTTATTTAGTCACCCAAAGTTAATTTGATACTTGAAAAGAAATGACAAGTAACTAGCAAGTTAAATTGACTAAAACTTACTCAAAGTGATAGAGCTTCCTTTCCTCCCACTTAAAAATTTTTTAAAAATTATCCGAGCAGTACACATGGCTCAAACTTGAATAGCTCAGGGTAGCTTGTAAGGGAAAAGCAACAAGTCGTACCTTTCTCCCCACGTCTGAGCCTGCTTCCCAGAAACAACCAGTTGTAAATGGCTCAGCCGATTCTTCTGGAAGGCATTTCCGAGTTCCCAGCCCTTACACCGGCCTGTCTTCCGCCATGTCTTCCCCCTTGGATATGAGCTGCGAGGGCGTGAGGGGCTGGGCCGGGTGCCTCTGGGGCTCTGGCTGCCAGACCCACGTTGGTTTGTCAGCTGCTTCTGAAGAAACAGGTTGCAGGTTTTTAAGATGTGACTTCTTGATAGGGATTTTATAATTCTGTTAAAAATGAAAGGCTCTTACTCTGGGAAATGGGCAATCTGTCTCAGGGTCACATGCCGACCATCGAGCTGTTGAGGAAGTATCATCTCATGCAGTTTGCCGAAGTGACCAAAGCCGTCAGGTACCGTGGCCTTTTCCATTTGGGGCTTTCAGACGCGGAGTTAATCATTAAAAGTCTCACACGTGTTGTGCGAGGGCTGGTCCTGGGCCTTGGTTTTCCTGACTGTGCATGCACATTTCTCCCCACACCCAGCGAAGGCAACCTTCTGCTCTTGAACGAGGCCTTGACGAAGCACGAGACCTTCTTTATTCGCTGTGGCATTTTCCTTATCCTTGAAAAGCTGAAGATCATCACCTACAGGAATCTTTTCAAGAAAGTGTGAGCTAAATGTTTCCTTTATTAGTAAGTTTAAGTTCTCAGTGTGACTCAGCCCCCACACTGTGAAGGGCGATGACCCCCCGAGACGGAGTGTGTGCCAGTGTGGACGAGGCCCCAGCACTGCCTTGAGCTTGTGCGGATGCACTCAGACCTCCAGGCCGCCCACGGCCGCCAGCTCCACTCACCCCAGCACCTCGCGGGCACGTGGGCACACCTCCGTCAGGTGTCCCGCGTTCTGTCCCGCAAGTGGGACAGGTGCTCTGTCCTTCATTCATAACCAACCAAGCCAGCCCCGCCACTCCTGTTTGTCAGAAAGTTGAATTCTGCATCTGTCCCTTTCCCCAGCTGTGGGTAGTATGTCCAGAATCGTGAGGGCCACGCGTCCTCGAATCCATAGGGCACGGTTCGTGGTAAGGGGTGTCCTGATGACAGAGACGTCAGAATGTGGGATCACGTGCTTCTTGGACTCTGAGATGAATATGGGGAGATGGAGACACAGGGTCCTGTTTTCCCTCCTGACTCGGGATGCCTTCTCGCCTTTGGAGTGCTTGAGTCCCGTCAGTAACCCACGTGGCCCTGTGCTTGCCCCCCCAGGTATCTGCTGCTCAGAACACACCAGTTGTCTCTAGATGCCTTCCTGGTCGCCTTGAAGTTCATGCAGGTGGAAGACGTGGACATCGATGAGGTCCAGTGCATCCTGGCCAACCTGATCTACATGGTGAGACGCCCTCCCCAGCCGGCCGGGTCTGGAGCCGGAGGCTCTCATGTAGTGGCTGGAAAGCCGTTGGTGTTTGTTAGAACTCCTGTTATCCCGGGAAGTGACCGGGCTTTGAGGGGCCGCGGGTGGGTGGACATTGTACGTCCCTGTTGTGCGGTGTCTCTGCATTTCTCCGTTGTCTTTGGAGCAGACTGCTGACACCTGGGGCTGAGGAGGGGTGAGCCAACAGGCTTGTTGTGACCCCGGCCGTCTCTTTCCCCCAGGGTCACATCAAAGGCTACATATCACATCAGCATCAGAAGTTAGTTGTTAGCAAGCAGAACCCTTTCCCCCCACTGTCAACAGTGTGTTGACTGTGCACACACTCCGAGGACAGGACAGCTGTGTCTCCTCCAGCTTTTGTCTGCGTGGATGGACTCGGTATTGTCTGCAGCCGGACTCTGGGGCTCGTTTGCTGGCGCACATGGCTCCTGGAAACCTCCATGGTCACTCACAAGTAACGTCCGCCGTGCGGACAGCTGGAGCTCCCTCTTGAGAAAATGGGCATGTCCGTTCCCATTGGAGCTGGGGAAGTGTCCATGGAGGGCTCCGGCTCACTCTTCTTAAAAGCGTCTTCCTCAATTTTTATGTAACTTTTTCTGTAAAACGTCATCCTGAATTTATACAGATGGCATATTCTTTATTTTATCTTAATATTTTCATTTGTTAAATTAGAACATTGTACATGATTAAAATGCTTGGTTAACTAAAGGCTTCTTTTTATAAAATGAATTTACCTTGATAATTTTCCACAGTTTACAGCCTGCCATTTTCAGAGTCTGCACATTTCCTCTGTTTGTGCAACACTCACTAAAGAAGAAAGCGTCCTGGGCTGTTGTAGCTTTATCTTTGCAGCCTCCTCAAGGCTGGGAGCCACTTACCCCGCTGCGCAGAGAAGCTGCCCTCCAGGCCGCGGGTTCCTGCTCCACGTGGGCGGAGCTCGGCTCCCGCTGCCCGAGGGGCCACCCCGGGCGTGCTGGCAGGAGGGCAGCATCCGCACGAGCTCAGGGCTCGGGGGAGGTGAGGCTGGCTGGCCCGCAGGGTGACCACTGGAGGTGCGTTGGCACTGGCCTCGGGCTCCCAGTCCAGTGCAGGCGGGCCTCAGCAGCGGTTGCTCCCGCCTCTTCACGGCCTGGAGCGGGTTCTAAGAGCAAGTGTCCCAAAGGGCCCAGCCAGCCTCCGCGTCACTCTGTCACCTGCTGGAGGCACATCCAGATTCCAGCTGAGGGACGTGCGTGCCCTGGAGTGCATGTGCGGAGCGTGTGCCGCGGTTTTATGATCGCCAGGTTCTTGACCTCAGGACAGTGTGGCGTCCCGGCGGGCAGGGATCACCGTGCGCCGAGGCTCACTCGGGGGCTGGGACCCTGCCGCCCCCTTCTCCGGGGCACCGTTCTCTCACGACAGGCGAGGAAGAGCGAGCTTGCGCTGCTTCCCAGGGTCGCCCTGCAGCCTAGTGTAGACTGGGGTGCTCCTTCGAGCCGTGGGTAGTGACCCCGAGAGTCCGGGCTTGGCTGGTTCTGCCGCGGAGGAAACAGACGTCGGGTTCGGTGCCTCTGTTTGGACTCGGCCTGCGTGCACGGTGGCGCCCGTGAGGTTCGCGGGCGTGGCGCCTGCGGTTGGTCCCCGTGGGGCCCGGGCGGGACGCGGTCTGGCCCCTGTAGAGGCCCCTCTTCTCGAGGTGTGCCCGCCTGGCCCAGCGCCCTTGCAGTCAGTTCTGCGGCAGACGGGGCAGGGCTTCGGTCGCAGCTGCGGCCCCGCCGGCCGCACGGAGGCCCCCACTCGGCAAAGCCGGGCTTGCGGTGGGACAGCGCCGCGCTCGCCGGCTTCTCCCGCACAGCTGCCGGAAGCCTCCTGACCCTCCAGCAGTTTGAAACCGTGCAGCCCCGCTGCCCAGACTTAACTCACTGCCCGGCCGCCCGCCTCGATGAGCCGCGTCTTTCCCGGGGAATGGGCCGGCACGTAGGTGTCAGAAACGGACAGCGTTCGTGGTGTGTTCAAGAATCGTAACAGCCAGGGTGCCCGCTGGCTCAGTCGGTGGAGCGAGCGACTCCTGATCTCGGGGTTGTGAGTTCGAGCCCCACAGAGTGCAGAGATTGCTTAAGTAAATAAGTTTAAAGAAAAAAAAAAGAATCGTTAACACTTAAAGATCCGAACTGTGTTTACACTCTCTGTGTTCCACTCAAAAGAATATTTCAATCAACACTTAATCCCTTAAGCGAGTCCTCCCTCCCGCAGGCCGTGGTGCGCCTGCGCGTAGAGCCCGTCCCGGCGCCCCGGGGAACAGGTGAGCGGCTTCCGTAAGGAAGAGTTAGCGGGCGCTCAGGGGTACGCGGCGCTTGCGGCCACCTGCTCTCGCTGGGGCCCGTGTGGTGAGCTCCGAGGGCAGGACGGTCTGGGGCCGACCGCGCTTCCGTGTCTGCTCGTGGGAGCCACGCGTCCACGAAGGCGGTGGACAGTGACCGGGTCTGTGCTCTCCAGCTTGGTCTCGGCCCTCCTTGGAGAAGCTGCTCTTCCGTTTCGAGACGGAGGCGCCGCGACGCTGACGGCCCGCCGAGGGCCCGTGGGCGGCTTCCGGAGCAGATCGGACCGCCACCGCCGTGAACCGGGGCTCCCGGGCCCGGCGGGAGTCGCCCGGGGCGCAGCCTGTGGGAGGCCCGCTGCCTCCCGACCTCGTGCTCCTGAGCCTTCCCCTACAGCGCCTCCAGCCAGTGTTTCCCTCGGTCTAGTGGCCTGCAGGCCCCCGCCCCCATGCCCTGGGTGGCTGTGGCGTGGCCACGGGGGCTCGGAGAAGCAGCCCCGCTGAACAGGAGCTTCCCCGCCGTCCTTGGCTCTGCGGGTGGAGGACGGTTTGCGCCCTGACCCAGAGCTATCGGGAAGCAGCCCGTTTGGCTAAGACCTTGGGTGCGCGGGGAGGCGTGCTGGGACGGGAAGCTAGAGGCTGGCAGGTACTTGCTGAGCCCCCTCCGTGTGCCGGGGTCTGGCCGGGTGCTGGGGGTTGAGCAGGAAGCCGGACCGGGGCGGCGGCCGTGTGGGGCCAGGACCTCACCAGTCATCCCGCACAACAAACCAGCCTTCCAGGCAGAGTGCAAGTCAGGGAGCCGCGGAGACGCCATCCGTCAGACACCGGGAGAACCAGGTGCCACCGCGGCCGGGCCGGCGCGGGCGTGAAGCCGCTTTCCCACTGAGCTGTGAAGGCTGGGTCTGCGTCAGCTCAGGAGCCGGAAGAGTGGGACGTGGGAGCATCGCAGATGGAGGTAAAGGATGGCAGGGGGCAGCCTCGCATTCCTGGACCTGCACCGGGGGGACACAGGGGGTGGGAGTGGGGCTCCAGGACAGGAGCTGGGCAGCAGGATGCAGACAGAAGGGCCAGGCCACAGCTCCTGGGAAGCTTCTTAAAAGATGACTGTGTGGCCCTTTCTTTGTTCCTCCCTCCATCCTGCTGCCTCGAACACAGGTGTGATGGCTGGAGCTCTAAGTGCCATTCTGGAATACGAGGATAAGGGCCACTTGATGGAAGACTGAGCAGTGATGGCTGGGGTCATGCTCACCTTTCTTTCGTTTTATTCTTTTGCTCCTCCTGATTTCTTGTCATCGTGCCAGCCGCATGACGCATTTACCAAAAGTGATATACAATGTTTGTCCACGTTCCACTTTACTGAGGGCATTTCTAGCTGCCCCTGTGATCCACAGCCCTTCCAGAACTGCAGTCCCACGGACCCCCTTTGGTGGAAGTTCCTGTGACTGTTCCGTGTTGCGGAAGATTGTGTACCGTGCTGCAAATGGTCTGATGTCAGGCATGGGTCTCTTACAAACCACGCTGTCACCGGCACGACGCAGTGAAGGTTCTGACTGCTGGAGGGACAGGCCCACTTGGTGTTCCCCAGTCCTGCTACTTGCTGTGTGGAGGGTGCGCTTGACGGGGCTGTGCGGGAGAGACAGGCGTGTGCCCCAGGGGTCAGAAGAGCGTCCCAGCACCACATTTAAAACATCAACAGAAAGAGGGGCGCCTGGGTGGCTCAGTTGGTTAATTGGCTGCAACTGCCTTCGGCTCAGGTCCCGATCCCGGAGTCCCCGGGATTGAGTCCCGCATCGGGCTCCCTGTTGGGGGCGGGGAGCCTGCTTCTCCCTCTAACCCTCCCCCCCATGTGCTCTCTCTCTCTTTCATTCTCTCTCTCTCTCAAATAAATAAATAAAATCTTTAAAAAACAAAAACAAAACATCAGAGAGAGGTTAAAATAATTTTAATAACGTACTCATCTAACACAATAGATCCAAAATAGTATCATTTCAACATGCAGTTTGTTTGAAGATTATAAATTCGGGTTTATGTTCTTATTTCTGTGTGTGCAGGAGGGTGGGGGCGCTGAGGGAGAGCAGGGCTGAGGGGCAGGTGTGTGGAGCAAGCTGGGTGGTGGCGGTTGTCGGGACCGGCTGTCAGCCCGCCGCTGGCTAGGCCCTGCGCGCCCATGGCCGTCTGGGCGTCGCTCCAGGAGGACCTGCATGCATCACTAATAAGAGAGACGGGAGGGCCCTTGCAGGCGAGCTCGGATCTCGCGGGTCACGCTGGAGAAAGCCCCGCCTGCCCCCGTGGCCACAGGAAAGGCCGAGTCCGCGGAGCAGAGCCTCCCCCAGGGCTAGGATGGTCAGGACAAGGAGGCCCAGGAGCAGCACCACACGGCCCGCCAGGCTGCCGGCCCGCCGCCGCCAAGGACGCGTCTGCAAACACGGGCCTGAGGACGTGGGGCTGCTGAGAACGGCCACCGGCCCTACAACGGCACTTCATTGGATCGATTCAGTGTCTTCACACCTCTTCGCCTCCGTGTCTTCCTGCCTGAGGTCCCTGAGGCAGCTCAGCAAGCGTTTCTGTAAAGGGACCTAGTGGACCACAGCCCAGGGCCTCGCGCCACGTGACCAGTGGACCCAGGTGGCGTTTTGTAAGAACCAAGTGTGTCCTCCAACCCGAGAATCGCTCTCAACACCGCGGGGGGAGCTCACAGCCCATTCAGGCCCAACCGCACAATCCCCACCGACTCCCAGGGTGCTCTGCTCCAGAGAAACCACCTGTCCTGTCTGAGATGAAAAAGTCATTCCTCGGCGATGCTCTGAGACTCTGAATGTCGTGCTTCTCGAGGATGTTCCCGCCAGGGTTTGGTGTCCTCGGTGACCTGCCTCAACCAGCAATTCCTGTGGTGGCCCTGGCTGTGGGGCTGCCCCTACACAGAGCCCAAACCCACTGCCCTCCCGATGAGGTGGCTCCATCCCGCCACCGAACTCGGGCTCGGCCTGTGGAAGCCCCTCTGTGTTTGGGGGTGACTGTGACCCTTCACAGAACGGGTGGGCTCATTGGGATCGTCCTGCGACCTCTGCCTCTGTCTCAGGAGCAACGCTCACGCCCCGCCTTCTCCCCCTGTGGCTCCCGGGCCCCAGCCCGCCTCCGCTGCCTGTGTCCCCGAGGGACCAGCCTGGCGCCGTGCCGTGTGCTTGAGCGGCTCCTTCAGCTCCGTCCCCAGGCAGACAGCGCCCCTCGCGGGAGGTGAGCGGTGCGGGGCACGGGGGCGAGCACATGAGCCCCATCGTGCCCCACCACCTCCTCCAGAACGTCAATGAACTGAGTCTCTTTCTGGATGAGGGGATAAGTCGACCCGGGGAGGCAACGGGGCTCCCTCGCTCTGTCCTGCCTCGGTCTCCCCCTCTGACGCACTCGGCAGCCCGGTCGCCGATCGGCGGCCAACAGAGATGGGAGCCGCGGCAGTGAAGGCCGCTCTCGCCGGTGGGTCTTCCGCCAGTTCTCTGGGCCCCAAACCACCGGGGACCTCCTGACCCGCGCAGGGCGTGCGGCTGCACAGAGAGCGGAGGAGCCGGCCTGCGCCGCTGGGGCCCCTCTCCGGGAGGGCCTCTGACCCACGCGGCCCTTGGCTTTCTCTGCTTTCCTCAGACCGGCTCTGGGAAACTGCGTCGCCGTTCACAGAGATTTTCGTAACCTTGCAATATCTACTGTTTACAAAACACTCTGCCCAGCTTGTGACATTTGGGGGCGTCTTCGTACTGGAACTTTGAAACTTTGTTTAGCAAAGTTACGCAAAACACAAACTGTGCAGGGCCATTTGGAAAACGCTCCGGCGGGTCTGGTCTGAGGTGACCCGTCGTGTTTTCTAAAGCACTTCGCTTCTCATGGCCACTTAGTTGGGGGCCTGGAGTGCCGCGGACGGTGACGGGAAGGGCTTGCCGCGTCCCTCCCACAGTCCCGCCCGCGCACCATGTCCTCGTGGGGTCACTGAGGGGCCGCGTCCACACTGATTTAACGCTGGGGGCTGGGGCAGCCAGCCCTGGGGGCGCAGTTGCTGCTCAGGGGGCGGCGGTGGCCCCAGCTGATTCCACTGTGAGGCCAGAAGGGAGAAGCAGCTAAGTCCACGCAAAAGCATCCCTGCCCGTGAGAGGCTGTCGGAGAGCCTGCCCGCGAGGACGCGCTCCCGCCCCGTCTCAGTGCTGGGACCCCCGCCCCACCCGATCCCTGCTCCCAGAACCTAGTTACTCCAAGTGTCCTGAGCCACGCGGCAGCCTCGGGCACTCAAAACCGGAAACCCCCGCTGCACACAGGAACGGCCCATCGCGGGTTTGGTCATCCCGGGGGCCCCGATCCTACAAAGGATAGCGTTTCCCGAAGAAGCCCCCCAGCCCGGGGAGGGAACAGGAGGCTCTAGTGTTCCAAAGGAAAATTCTCCAGGGCAGAGCCAGAGAAAACCAGGACAAGGGATCCACGCAGACCTCGTCACCGCAGATGGGAGACCTGCTCCAGGCGCCGCCCGTGTGAGCACAAACGAGACACCAGCGGGTCTTGAGGGAATGACTTTAATGTGGGTGGGGCATAGGGTCCCCTGCGCGCACTGGGGCCGCGGACCTGGCTTTCATGGATCTGTCGATCCACTTGAGGAAGTTGGTGACCTTGGTGTAGACCCCATACTTCCCTTTCCGTGCACATCCTTCTCCCCAGCTGACGATGCCGGTGACGAAGTAGGTGTCCTTGAACCGGGTGACGTGGGGGCCCCCGCTGTCCCCCTGGCAGGCGTCCTGGGTCTTCGAGTCGTAGCCGGCGCAGAACATGTTCTGGGTGATGCTGAAGCTGCTGGACAGCTTGCACGTGTTCCTGTCCACGTACGGCACCTCCATCATCTTGAGGGTGCTGGACGGGCGGCCCTTCTCGTGGGTCTTCCCGAAGCCGCTGACGATGCCCGTCTTCTGTGTCATGAGCGTGGCCTCGGCCCAGTCCTTCTGGGGCAGGCAGGCGGGGGCCACGTTCCTGCGGAAGGTGATGGGCGTCTTCAGCTTGATGACGGCGATGTCGAAGTCGTAGGTCTCCCTGACGAACCGGTTGTGCTTGATGATCATCTCCACCTCGTGCGCCACCTCGTCGCCCTCCTCCTTCTCCGTGTCCCGTTCACCTGCAAAGTGGCGAGGACATGGGGGGGGCTCGGCTCAGGATGGGCCGTGCGCTCACCTGCACGTTGCTGCTCAGAGCACCTGTTACTGTGTTTGTATGAAAAAGTGGAATATGGTCACTAGAAAACCTGAAAAACGAAGGGAAGCATAAAGCAAATAAAAGTGACCTCCACGGGGCGCCTGGGTGGCTCGGTCGGTTAAGCGACTGCCTTCGGCTCAGGTCATGATCCTGGAGTCCCAGGATCGAGTCCCGCGTCGGGC